ATAGTTTTCGAGAAATCTTGACAACCGACTTTAGAAGAAGCGTTTTGAGAAAAACGCGTTTAAAGATTTGAGTGCTGGTATAAGAGCCATGAAAGAGTGCAACTTCCCAAGGCTCTATCTTTAAAACTACTACTCCTATCGACTTCAAAATTGAATACAATATTCTAGATGAGTTGTAGAATTTAAAAGGATAAAAAAAAATTTGTTTGAAAGTCCCAAACCCATGTAACCCCTTAAGCAAATAATTATTAATTCCTCAAACAAATTTGATATTACTGTGCCAATTCACGTCAAGAAAAAGAAACCAAAAAGCTCGTAAAAAATAGAAAAATATACCAGATCTAAAATTTAATAGTGCAGTCAAAATTGCAGAGCAAATAGAACTTTACAAAATAAACATTATTGTTTAAACTTGAACGAAACAAAAAAAAAACAAATAAGAGTTGGACAAGTAAACTTTTCATCAATGTAGTTTTAAATCATTCATTTTCGGAAGATACTTAATTAACTAAAGAATCCTACCACATTACAGCATCTTTTAGAAGTACAAAAAGTTTAAAAAACTAGAGGAAATTGTCAAAGAAGTATGCAGCCAAACATAATTTGTTTTAGTTAAAAAAATCAATGAAACACTTTTTATGCACAAGTTTAATGTTCTAATTCTAGATGATAATTTGTTGAGGTGTTATATTTATAGCGATGACATAACATAAAAATTTACATTTGACACTAAACATTTCTAAAACGATAACCTTGGAATATTGTGGTATTATTAAATAATTAATTCCTAAATAAAAACGAAATTTATTATCGATATTTATTTAAGTAATGGCGTAACAGAAAATATTGTTTATAAAAAAATGCTTATTAAGATATTGACTGATGCAGAAAAAGTGTTTCTCAAAATATCATAAATTTCTTGAAATCTATAAAAGCATTACGACGGTAGGAAAAGAATAAACAAAATCAAAGCAGTAACAGTTAACGTTTGTCTACATTTTAATTTGAAATTTTAAAGTACCTGTTTATTATTCTCAGTTAAATTGATACCTCTATCAAGGACATATATTAGACGATAATTAATTGCTTCTTGCTTTTTTTCTATCATTAAACAGTTAAATTTAGGTAACTAGTTAATCAGCGTACGTTGGATAGTTAAGATATAAATTAACACTTTTGTATTTCTATTGCTGTTAATATTATAAAAGTGTGAATACAATTCCTTATTTTTAATACAATAGTACAATCCTTCATTAATATATAACCAGAAAATAAATATTTTTGCACGAAAATTATTGACATTTTTCAAGAAGAAAAAAGGATTTCTACATTCATTACGAAAAGGACTAAATGTTCTTTGGAGATAGTGAAACAGAGAACACCAAAACGAACTTTGGAAAAATCGTACTATATTATTTTTCCAATCGTACATTTATGACAATTACGTACTGTAATAAATAAAAGATTTTCTTTGTTTTGGAAATAATAACGAAAATAGACAAAACATTCGAATTAGTATATATATAACTAAAGTTAAATATTGTATTATTTATACTAAGGACAAATGTAGGGCGCAAAATATATTCCTCTCTCCACTTTTATCTAAAAGCAATAAAATTTAAACTGTGACTCGTTGAGCATACGTTAAATCGTTAAGATATTGGTTAAGCGTTTATCTGTTTCATTTCGTCAATTATATAGTTTTATAATACAATTTATAATTTTCATCGCGATACAAATATAGGTTACTTTTATATCAGTGTCAAATATTTCATTAAGTATTTAAAACGTATAAGTGTTACTAAAAGAAATTTATTTCGAATTACATTACGGAAAGTGTATTGCTGTTATTGGTAATAGCGAAACGAAAATCCAAACAAAAGAACTTTCCAAAATTATCTATTTACGTATAAAACGTATTAAAAAGGGGTCTTCATTTTTGATAATAATGTGCAGCGTAAGTTTATTCGACGAAGAT